GTTATACAGGGTGTCCCAAAAAAACGAAAACTATTGCAATCACCAATAACAATTTAATTGTTAGAATTTGAATGTCTTAGCACTCTGTTGGTTCCCACGAGTGCATAAATGATTGACATAAGTAAATTTTATGCATAAAGAAACTATTTAAGAAGCTGCTTTAAATTCCCAAGAGCAGAAAATCGCGCACTTTACAAGGAGATGTTCTTAACTAAATTTTAATACATGCACCTTGTCAATATTTTACGCATCATTACGTTCAGCTTTTTGGTAGGGCATTCAATTTTAACAATACGTGATTTCAATAGTTTTCGGGTTTTTTGGGACACCCTGTATATATACAAATTTTTAAACGGTTAATTATTCAAATAAGCGAATAGGAGGAAGGGATGAATAACAACCTAGCCTATCATTAAAAAAATTAGTAAATTAAAGATATAATGGTTATAGTAATTAGAGACCTAGCAAAGCATATTAGAAAAGGTCAAGAGGAGTTGACCTAATGTTGGCATTTAAAGTAGGATTAAGCTTGGATATTAAAAGGCTTTCTTCCTTACGTGTCGTCTTAATTAAAGGTCTTTCGTCCGTCTTTCCAACTTTCCACTTAAGGACAAAATTCCCTGTGAACTGAGATCGAACTGTGTTGTGTATTTGTATAAAGCCGGTTTTCCACTAGGCGGAATTTTGCGCGCGGAGCGGAATTTTTCTTTGTCTTTTCTAATTAGTTCCACCTGAGGAATGACAAGACAAAGAAAAATTCCGCTCTGCGCGCAAAATTCCGCCTAGTGGAAAACCGGCTTAAGCGTCAATGCTGTGGTGCATTGTATGTTGGTCAAAGTCGCCGACACATACACACGCGTATCTCTGAACACATGCATGGGTGTTTCACCTTTGACTGGAAAGAAACGTTTTGTTTCAACCACGTCATGCATACTCGCTCATATTCATACCACTAAACATTAAATTTCACCCTCTGGTTTTAAAATCCTTTCCACTGCTACTTCTAAAGGCCGTTTTCCACTAGGCGGAATTTTCTGCGCGGAGCGGAATTTCTCTTTGTCTTTTCTAATTAGTTCCACCCGAGAAATCACAAGACAAAGAAAAATTCCGCTCCGCGCACAAAATTCCGCCTAGTGGAAAACCGGCTTAAAGCGGATTTACTCATTCGCGAAAGCTTTTTGCATATCCAAGCTTAATCCTACTTTAAACGCCAACATATTAGGTCAACTCCTGTCGACCTATTCTAATGCTTTGCTAGGTCTCTAATTACTATAACCATTATATCTTTAATTTACTAATATTTTTAATGATAGGTTGTTTTTCATCCTTTGCTCTTATTCGCTTATTTGAATAATGTAACCGTTTAAAAATTTGTATATATATATTTGAGCGATTCAAGTGGATTTAGTTCAAGCAAGCACGATTCTAGCGCTAGTGTGGCCGCGGTCAACACATCACCTTCCAAGCGCGCTTGCCAGTGTGACCGCGCAAAACACAAAACCCAAGCATGCTTGAAATCTGACACGATTTGCTTGAAATTTCAAAGGCGCCGAAGCACGATCCAAACACACTACAGGGTATGTTTGAATCGTGCTAGAATGTGGATCTCAAGTGGATTAAATAATTCAGCCAATAAAATGTGGAGTTTTAGAAAGCAAATAGACAAGTAATTTCAACATGTTATTTTTAATTTGAATAGAGACAGAACCGCGGTAGATTCGAACTATTTTGCTTACGCAACAACGCGCTAAGCAGTGAGTCGAATGAATAAACGGTACTTCTGTATGGAAACCTGAAGCAGAAACCAAATTCAAAATTTCAAAGTAATTTAGTTCTTGCCCGTGTAATTATATAATATACAATTTTAACATCCCTATTTAATACATATAATATGATAATAAATAACGATCGGGCAAGCGATTTGCGCCTGAACTAAGGACAAAGACACATTTCTCTATATGTTCTAAAGTCTAAACTTAGTTAGGCCTACGAAATCACAAGAATAATGTGTATTCGTTGCCTTTAATATAATGGACTTTAGATTATTAGATAGGTTTTTAATGTTTATCTGTCAACAACAGCAAGCAAGCAAAGGTTGCTTTTTTGAGTGTGACCGCGACGTGCTTGGCTTGCATTCTAGCATGAGCTTGGTATGTGTTCAAGCAAGCACGCTAATCCGGTGGTAATCTCCAAGCACAAGCGCTAGTGTGACCGCGACCTTAAAATAAGTTTAATTGCTCTGAAGATGTTGTGAACAATACAACGAAACGTTAGCCAATAATTTTTTTATATTTTGTTATGTTTTGTCCGAAAGTCATTTGCTTGGCTTTAGTTTTCATTTTTAAATTACTCTTTCCACCCGGTTTATCAATCGCTACTGTTTTAACTTAAAACGACACTTAATAAGTTTTCATTTTAATGCACCAATTCGTTAAGCAAATATTCTAAGAGAATTAGGAAAACAACTATGACACACACAATGTTGTGGGAGAAGGGTTGTCGAGGAGAAATGCTCCGATTATACTTGAAACTGTGGCCAAAGTGCGCCCCACAGACTCGCTATTACAGCAATATGATTATGATATAATTATATGTCCTGAGGGGGTCGTAGTTCTCCAATGTTGGACTTTACCCAAGGGGTAGTAGATCCCCGAGATGGGCATCCTAAATGTCCAAGGGGTAGTAGATCCCCGTGATGGTCATTGTTTACTTTACGATACACTGTATAATACATTGATTTGTGTGAGTTTATGGGGTTGAGGGTGACCTTTGGGAGCACTCCATCCCCAATAACCAAATATTTTTATCTTTACAACCAGACTGGCAAAGTCAATTCCAATACTGTATATTACAAAATCTAGACGTGCCTGTAATAAAATATTAACCAGTAACTACTCCATAGTACTTTATCTAATATAACACTACATGAATTGCAGTTCATGCGAATCTTGATGACGGATTGCATATCAAAACAATATTTACCGATTTTTATTTATTTTCTGATACGAGTTATGATAAAGTGGTGCAAAATCGTTGAAGGGTGGGATGAGTGGTAATTTCGAAAGTGCTTTGCCGCAGAGGTCATACACTTTTGCTTGCAAGTGACACAATGAGGCTTACTGATCCAAGCGGGAAACTATACAGACGAAAAGGTTAAACCTGATTGGTCAATTTTCCCGCACGCATGGGAAGAAATTTGACAATGGTTTGTTGTTAATGGACCACTTTGGCGGTTTTGTGTTAGGTGGAAACACGTGCTCGAGAAATCGGAAACTCGGACAAACATGGCGGAGCGTAATACAAATGCTATTCAAAATACACAAATGTTTCGGCCATTCAATAGATAAATTTGCTAGCTTTCGTCACGAAACAATAGTCAAAGTGAAAAATATGTCGCGAGAAGAGAAATTCAAAGCCATGAAGCTGCGGGAGCTCAAAGCATACTTACAAAATCGAGGAATTACTGTTAACAGTTACCTCAAACCCGGACTCGTAGCTATTGCTTATGCCGTCGAAGAAATGAGTCTTCCATTGCTTTTTCAAGTCAGTGAAGCCCAAGACCAGTTAAATCTAAGCCGTCGTTTGAGAGTTCACGATATTCAGCTGCCTGATCCTTTTAAAATGAACTATGTTTTAAACTATTTTAAGCATTCTCGCCCCTTTGCATGCATGGTTTGTTTGATATTTTTAATCATCTCATATATCTCTCGTCAGAATATGACAAGCGAAGTTCAGCAGCTTATAAATATATTTTACATATCGTACGCATTTTAATGCTGCGTTTTATATGCTAGAAGGAGATTAGGATTATTACTTATATTTTCCGTACTAGTTATTGCTGATACAGGGTCTGGATGCTCTTCAGTAGGACCATTTTGTCCAACAAAATGAAAGCTACTCATATATAGGGTAACTATCCTTCGTACATGCAAATTTATCGCCTCTGAAGGCATGAGCGTATCCAGCGCTGTCGTTTTGCGCTATGGTATCTAGCCCCAGGAAAATGTAAGAAAAAAGATATTAAACATGGCGGAGCGTATATATAGAACAATATGGAATGGTTACGATTAAAAAGTGCGCTTGGGTTACTTGTAAAAGCGATTCGCGGTATCTTGATCGGCTAAAACGAAACAGTAATGGAGCTGAAATTTTTTTACAATTTTCTGGGGCTACAATCCTGAACAAAAAATCTGCGCCGACACTTCCAATTACTTGACAAAATGTCGTAATATTATCGTAAATTTAGAAAACCTCCCTCTTTCCCCCACTATTCAATGTTGATTGCATTCGTAGAATACAGATAAAACGTCCAACATTGTTTTGGGGGGTGGAGGTGGGCGAACGTAACGAGTAAATTATTCCGATCTAACTGGTAAAAAAAAGCCACAAAGGAATGTTTTAATAGAGTGTCGCAGATCTTTTTGCCCAGGATTGTAGATACCATAGCGCAAAACGACAGCGCTGGATACGCGCATGCCACAGAGGAGATAAATTTGCATGTACGAGGGATAGTTACCCTATATATGTATAGCCTTCATTTTGTTGGACAAAATGGTCCTACTGAAGAACATCCAGACCCTGTATCAGCAATGTCTAGTACGGAAAATATAAGTAATAATCCTAATCTCCGTTAGTTCGTCTAGCATATAAAACGCAGCATTCTTACGTACGATCTGTAAAAAATATTTATAAGCTGCTAGACTTTGCTTGTCATATTTTGACCTGTGATATATGAGATGATTAAATATATCGAGCAAACCAAAGGGGCGAGAATGCTTAAAATCGTTTTAAACATTTATTCTGAATATCGTGAACTTTCAAACGACGACATAGATTTAACTGGTCTTGGACTTCACTGGCTCGAAAAAGCAATGGAAGACTCATTTCTTCGACGGCACAAGCAATAGCTACGAGTCCGGGTTTGAGGCCGGTAACTTTAACAGTAATTCCTCGATTTTGCAAGGATGCTTTGAGCTCCGGCAGTTTCATGACTTTGAATTTCTCTTCTCGTGGCATATTTTCTATTTTGACTATTGTTTCGTGACGAAAGCTAGCAAATTTATCTATTAAATGGCTGAAACTTTTGTGAATTTTGAATAGCATTTGTATTACGCTCCGCCATGTTTGTCCGAGTTTCCGATTTCTCGAGCACGTGTTTCCACCTAACACAAAACCGCCAAAGTGATCCATTCAGCCTTGCGCTTTGCACGTGTATGATCACATGATTCACAGGTTGATCTTTGTACCAGACCTTTGTACTCCAGGGGACTTTGCACAACTTTACTCTTGTCCTAACGTTTGTTTCATTAACTTAAGTTTATAATGCTATGGGCATGTTGTTTTACAAGCACAGTACAACAATAATACTAGAAGTTACTATCGCAAGGAAATGCTGCCTCGCCCCCAAGGGATGAAGGCAGCATGCGCAATTTGCTGAACAAGGAGCTGTTTATACGATCCCGCTTTGCCAGGACGAGATATGAGGCAGGATGAT